AAGTGTAATCACAATTTTGGAACTTCTGGCAATAAAAGTCTAAAGCAGGGTTTAGATTAGCAAGAACTTCTGCCAAGTTATTCCGCAAGTACTTGAAGAACCGTTTACACTACCAGCAATATTACTATCGGAATTTGCTTCTGAAGCGGCCTGCAGAATAACTTGTGGAAGTACTTGGAAAAGAGTTTACACTAGTACGACGATATTTTTTGGATGCGGGTCAGAGGATCCAAATTCAAAGAGTTGAAATCAATCGTCATGCCAAGCTGTAGAAAAATACGTGCTGCTGCTATAGTAGTCTTATCTAGTAGTATTAAAAAGTAACGGAAAAATAGAAAGTGGATTAAGAATTGGATATAAAGACGAATTAATGTTGGTTGGTAGGTTGGTGGAAAAGTTTGGACGCAGGATGAAACTGTGCGGCTAATACAGAAGTATGAACAAAACAGATAGGATTCAATCTCGATTTTCTAGGGTGAAATATCGATTCACTAAATTCGATTCAGTACTATATATCGATTAAAATCGATCTTTTTGACACAAGAAATCGATTCTTCGATTCATCGATCTCAGATCGATAGCTTGGCCCTAGTATATATAGTATATACTGATATATACAGTAAGTATGGGCGTTATCAGTTTTTATCTGCAACGGTTACATAACCGATATCTAGTTTTCATATCGTTTATGGTAAACCGTTTTCAGATATCGATATCAAAAATGGTTTGCTACTGAATGTGTAAACGACAACCGAACCATAACCACAAACTGTACTACCGGTGCAACATATATTTATGAATTACATAGATTATTCTAGATTAGAAGTCAGAGATTCTAATGTTACTGTTATCTTAGATGTAATATTTAAACATATATGTTAATATATAGTTTTTTATACAAAAACTATATATTAACAATGTTATGCAGCAATAAATTATACCGTCGCTGTTACAGCTTATTAAAATACACTGCTGAACACATAGGCCTCCTTATAGATTGTATCATAGGTGGGATATTTACCATAGTTGCCACGCTGGGCAAGCGGGTTGGCAACCACAGTTTTTTTGAAGTGAAACTTTTTACGGGAGGGCTTTGATTGAAATTCTGATCCGCAACCTTTTTGTATGACGAAAAGTGGTGGGTGTTAACACTACGTACTTACCGGGCATTCGGTCGATCATTCAAGTCGCAAACGCATGGCATTACATACCATAAAGTATATAGTAGTACAATTACAAGATTACAACGGTCTTTTGTTCAAATACTAATCTTATATTAATTTTATTTAAGTCAGTTACCAAGGTACACGTATTTATTTTAGTAAGATTGAGCTGAGCGCACTTCAGTAATAGCGCCATCTTCTATGTTGTATAGGTAAAGATATTTTATCGAACAAACATTGATTGACTCTCAAGGTGGTATGTAGGATAGATGCTAGATGGCATAAACCTAAAAAAATTGCTGCCCATCTCCTGATTAGTTTCCTTATGTCGCCTTTTATGACACCCACGGGATGATAATCGGGTAGTGAATAAAATTACGTTCATTCTATCCTTATTTATTTCTATAATTTTGTTACCCATTTTTTTTTCTTCAAATTGAGACGTAGGATCAGAGTCTGATTTCAAAGTCTATAATTAAAGTGTATTCTTAAGAAGTAAACATAATTTATATACATTTATAAAAAATTATTTTAGTTAATCGTAATAAATCGTTGTCGCCTTTCTTAAAGAACAAGACCACCGCACTTCTGCTCCACGCCTCTGGAGTAGTGCCACTATGGAGGACGGAGTTGAAGAGCTTGAAGGACTTCTGAAGGACTTAATGCACATAAATATTGCAAATAATACAAGTATATTTACTTTGATGTTATAGGTGTGGTAATGTTGATAGAAAAAAGCAAATTCTAAACTTTCCATCCAAAATATAAAAAACATAAACATAAAGTTGCCTAAACCAAATATAATATGATCATACAAATGCAAGTATTGTGTCTATTGTCCTAAAAATCATTTAAATTTGACAACTCTCACAACTACACAAACTTAAAAATTAGGCAATTTTAACCATTTGAAATTCGATCTTTTTGCTTTAGGTAATTATATCCAGATGTGCAATGCGTACCGTGTGAAACTAAAATTACCAAAACAGAAATCCTCTCTTTCTATTACGAATTTATGATACCGTCGCAAGAACAAAAAACAATGAATATTAATGAAGGACATCGCATCGGTTTAGTTCGTGGGCCGTGTTGGCATATCGTTTCGGTGATTGCTTTTTACGTTTTACAAATCTAAGCCTTGTGCCTAATGAGCTAAAGATCATTTGAAATTTGATAACTCTCACAACTACACAAACTTGAAATTTAGGCAATTTTAACTATTTAAAATTCGACCTTATTGCTTTAGCTATATATTATATTTCGCAATGTGCACCGTTGTGTGATAACTACCAAAACATCGCAACGATATCCATATTCGCTTCATCTCTTTCTATACATATTTAAACTATTGTAGCAAGAACGAGAAGCGATGAATATCAACGAAGGTCATCGGTTAGTGGGCCGTTTTCAGTTTTGGGATATCGTTCCACAGTTTGCGTTATGCGTTTCGGTTTCGTTTTCGTACGTTGGTTAGGTATATGGTTTTGGTTGGATATGTGATAACAGTTTTGTACTTGGGTTTATCGATATGATATAATATTTGATAACATAACGTTATTAGTTACCTTTTGATATATCGGTCTCATGCCTAATATACAGTAATCTATGGCTTGGCCGGCCCGGGTACGGAACGGGCTCATCTAAAGGTTAAAATAATAATAAAAATTAAAGGTTAGTAAAATAATTGATAAATTTTATTACGTAATGTTTAAAATATGGTAATCCCTTACTTTCCTTTTTCATACAAGGTTAGAAAAAATTGTTAGAAGTGTTGTTATTCCTAAAAATTAAGAAATCTGAGAACTCAAGTCAATGCTTAAAGGTGGAAATACCGATATTTGATGTCATATTAACTAATAAGTAATATTTTAATATTATTTAATATAAATATCACATTAAATATGTTATTTTGTTTGTAAAAGTGTACTTGGGGAAATAGTTTTTGAAATTTTTGAATATGTGTTAGGTACTACTACATAGCAATATTTTAGGTTAAACTATAGACGTCCGGTACTCTCGTACGGTGTTGGGAGGGGAGGGGACCATGGGAAGCCCCCCTACCCTTCCTCTGTTGCGGAAATATATAGTATATGAATAATAATTTTTTTTGTAAATCATAACCTCACTTTTTTATACAGGAATATTGACGCAAAGGTACTTTCGCAACGGCTTCGGCACTGCGGGAAGTGCAGCCCCTTCGCCCTTGCGTAGCGAATCACAGGCACCCATGCTCGCTCCCTCCATGGCTATGGCTTTACAAAAACAACTCTAGGGGTAGGGCAGACAAGACTACATGGAGTTGGGGTGTGCTAATTCGGTTTTAGAACTGATTTGACCAATCTTATCTATAAAGTCTGGTTACCCTAATGTGAATTGTTATAATTTTGTTTTCTGAAAAACCCCTTGACTGCTCTCCACTGCGACTCAATTTGTTGTATATAAGTCCCATCTCCAGCCACAAATGGATTGTCTGGGTCCAAGTGATTAACTTCTTTATGAGTTTATCTGTGTTAACAAAACAAATTGACATATTTGCGTTTCGTTATTGCAATTTTTAGTGAAATTTATTTTTATCGTAATTAATTCAAATTGCATTTCTGTAATCCAAAAACAGTGTAAATGGTTCAAGCTTAACCCTGACAATCCTCATAAATTGAAAACAAAATTAAAAATCAAGTACCAGATATCTACTTCATAATACGAGAACAAATTGACATATTTGAGTTTCATTATTGCACAATTTTTAGTGAAATTTGTTTTTATCCTAATTAATTCAAACCTCATTTCCGCCATCTAAAAACAGTGTAATAGGTTCAAGCTTAACCCTAACAAGCCTTCTACACTAAAAACATTATCAAAATCAAGTACCGGATGTCTACAGCCAACCCTAAATATTATTCATACATGTTACACAAACTAATAAGAAGTGCTAACGCACACTTTACTTAGTTGGTTATGCGATATAAAATGAGCAATAGAAAATTAATATTTTACAATATGCACTAAATGGAAAAAGAGTGTTAAAATAAACTCTGATTTAATTTTTTTTTGTATACAGTACTGTTAAAAGTAAGACCAATGAATATCACCAGCTTAGCCGATAACGATAATCTTAATGAATACACCATTATTGATGATGCATATTTCCTGCTGAGCATAAAAAAAAAAAGGGAATTAGTTTAACTTGCAATAACGATATGCTTAAAATTAAAGTAATCTATATTTAAATTAGTATAGTAGATTAAATATTTGGAAAGATAAATTTTATTTAAAATTATTTACGTCACCATGCATGTCTATTATTTACCTACTATTATAAAAAAATACGAAAAGACATCCGAAATTGAGATTTATTAATTATTCACATAAGTAATATTATATCTAAATGATAACTTATTAATTTCGTTAAAGTGAAGATGGCTACCAAATTATTTGCTTTTATTCATAATGTATAAAGGAATAGTCGATTTACAGTAATTAGGCAACCTCTGGCATGCCTAATATGTACATATGCCTGATTTGAATATGTGTAGTAACTACATTTTGTATTGTTTGTAATTTACATCCTGTTTAGTTTTTACTTTTTATAATTGCTATGGCCATTGCATAACCCTGTGTTATGAGATGCTTGGTAGCAGAACAGAGTTGTGGAACCCACCCATTCAGACTGAGACTCTCAGGTGGAACATGAGGCCTGCCACTTAGTTTGTTTATTTACCTTAACTTTTATATTTTCAGAAATTGAAAATGGATTCCTTGGAGTTAGTGTCATCAAATAAAGTTTTTGGAGGGTATCAAAAAGTTTACTCTCATGAGTCAGCTGAGCTGAAATGTAAAATGAATTTCTCTATTTATCTGCCACCACAAGCTGAAGGAGGTGATGTTAAGCTACCTGTAATTTTCTACTTATCCGGCCTCACCTGTACTGAGCAAAATTTTATAACAAAATCTGGTTTCCAACGGTATGTTTTAATTTAATTGGTAAATATATTATGTAGTTTATGAAACATATTATAACATTTTATTTAGGCAAATAAATTAAAAATAACTCATTGGATGATGAAAATATTCTACTAGGTACTAACTAGGTGGTGTAAGAATATTCACTAACTGATATCATCCTGATAAAACTACAGGGATTTATTTTGATACTAGTTTTTACCATCGACTTCACCTATGTAGAAATTAAACAAAAAGCTTGCAGATCTGTAATAGTTTTTGGACTGGCAATTCAACTATTAGTACCGCTTTGTTTTATGTTTTGGCACACTTAACAGGTTCAATGAGTTTGTATGAAGACTTCTATGTGAAATGTCTTTGATCCATTGGAGTTTTTCAAATAGGTAATAGGTCAGGCTTTTTGTTCCATATTACCCTATGCACTGTACAAGCGTACTGGAGCTCCCTTCTAGCACTCATGTTAAGTAAGCACTATTTATTTAAGTATTTTTAAAAACCTATATATATATTTATAGTACTTAAAACAATTTATTTGGTTTATAAGAATTTTACCAACTAATTATAAGCATGTCATATCTGTTACAAGTAATAAGCTCTTTGAAAAGTATTATAATTTTTAAAGAGCTTATTTCCTTATTTGTAACATAACATTCTCCAGATCTAATTTTGATTGTAGCGGCCAGTCTTAGACCAAGGTGCACTATATTCGCTCATTACCATAGTTTGATGGGAAAACAGCCTGGTATGACCAGAGAGAGAGATATCAGGAGAAGAACCAATCAATTTACATGCTTTCAGAGGGAGGCAGTTTCACGGGTGTGAAACATCATCTAACTTCCTTATCCATGCTGCTATTGAGAATTTCTTAACAGAGAAATCTTCTCTGTTAAGAAATTCTCTATAGCAGCATGGGGCAAAATAACTGATTTTGTCCAGACCTGGGATGCGAACCTGCGATCATATGATCAGCAGTACTTACAATCCCTAGATTTTACAGTCAATGCAATTTATTTAATATCCCGCTGTCAAGTAAACTACCTAAAATAGTACATATATACAATAGGAATAACAATATGCAATCCTGATAACTATCGTGCTTTACATTCGTGATTTTTTATCATTTGTGTTCATAATGTGACCTTTTAGATAATATGTCAATTATTTATCTTGGAATTAAAAAATAATACATATTATGTAATTACTTAAGTTGTAGTAAATTTCATTATGCAATAAAAAATTGAAATAGAGCTGATAGCCTGCCTAGATTTACTTTAAAAACACAATTTAGGGATGGGCAAGTGAAAAAAATAGGACGAAATAATATATCGTATCGTTATTTTTAAACGCTGTCGATTATATATATCGCGTGATAAATATCGATATATCGTCATGTTTAGTATGATATCCTAGGATAAGGTCCAAAATTTTATTACTGGACTTGGACGAGGATAAAAAACGACAACAGCACATGAATGCTTCAGTAGTTGCTTTTGTTGCTTAATGCTTTGTAGACTAATACAACAGTTTAAAATATTTATATCGAAATTGATACGAATTCGATACTATAAAATAAATATCCAATATTGATATTATCTTTAAAAAAATATATACAACCCATAACTTATTATCCACTATGGCCAATTTTGCATATAATGTGGCGTCAACCTGCTTACGACGTCCAATATACGGAAGTCAAATAGGATACTTAGTGCATTGTTCGCAAATTGTCATGCTGATCACAGAAATGTCAAATCTAAAAAAAACTGGACGTCATTTTTCTTCCAATCTTGCTGTACTGAATATTTACGTAGTTCCGCTACTTTTTGTTGCAAAAATAATTGTCGATTTGTGAATACTTTGTTTTATGGCCATATTTGACTTCCGCACAAAATTAGGAGATGCAACGTTGCCGTTCCGTCACATTTGCCAACATGCTACTTGTATTTGGTGATATATGGTTATGACTGCCTCGTTGGTCTAGTGGTTGTAGTAGTCAGACTGCTGATCGTGAAGTTCTGAGTTCGAATCCCGGGTCGGGCCAAAAAATACAATTATTGAGTTTTTCTGTCAAGAAATTCTCAATAGCTGCCCGGAGTCAGCAATTTGGCGGTGTCTCACCCCCGTGCCTCGGAAAGCACGTAAAGCCGTTGGTCCTGCGCCCGATCTCTCTCCGGTCGTATCGGTTTACAGTCCCATCGAATTATGAGAATGAGGGAATAGGGAGTGCACCTGTGGTTGCGCATACTCTTGGGCACTATAATCCCGTCCTGCGCCGATGGCTAGTATCCGTTGAGGCAGGCCGCCGTGACCGTAATTCGGTCTGCAGGACATTATTATATGGTTTATACTGCGCTTGGTACTAGTAATTTTACTTTTAAACTTGTTTTCTTAACCTTATATTTACCTACAAATAATATGGACGTCCGAATATCCTAAAACTTTCATACTGAATGATATTTGACACCCGTATTATTGAATTTAGTTATATTTTTATAAATGTAGATGTGGACGTCGGCTTATCGGTTTACTTCATGCTTCACTATATTTTAACATTTTACATTTGTTAATAATCAGCCTAAAAGAATTCTTGTTAGGTATTTCGTAAGCAACCCATAATTCTGTTTGAGTATAAGTTACTTTCTGATTGAGTACAGGAATATGGACTCAATTGTAGATATTGACAGGTTTCATAGAAGTTTGTTTTATTATATTGTGACTAATAACCTCTGACTAATTACCTAGTATGGTCTGGCGAAGAAACTCATTTTAATAAAGGGTTTTACTGCATTAACTGCCAATAGGTTGTTATTTTTACAAAAGAACATGGCATATTGTTGCTGACATGAATGACTCCGAAAATATAATTTATTTACTTGAACGTATTGAGTTTTGGTGCTCTCACTGCATCTTAAGGATGAGTGCGACTACTGTACCTAATCTGTACGAAATTACTCTCTACTTAATTAGATTTATTTTTGTGAAAGGCTATTTTTGTTAACTTATGATATTGTGTTTGGTTTTGCAGTTAGTTGAAATACAATTTAATTTTTCACATATGTTTTCTAAGCTTCTAATCGTTTTATCATTTCTAGAAAACATTTTATAAAACAACAAAGTGACTATTTTACACCGCATGGCCTCCCTACACTAAAATACGAATAAAACAATAGCGAAAAATGTCATTAAAGCAATGATCATTAATGTGTCTTATACACAAAGAATTAAAATATAAATATATTCATGGTTATATGGACGTCAAATATCGTTCGGTATGAAACTACCGATGTTCGAATCTGACGTCCACATATAGAAATATAACAAAATTCAAAACATGGACATCAAATATCATTCAGTATGAATGTTTTAGGATATTCAGACGTCCATATTATTATTTGTACACATGTAGTAATTTAAACTTAAAATTTTGGCGCACACAGTGCCCCAAAAACCGCTACAAACGGCAACATTTATCAAAAAAAGAAATAAGAAAGGTTTTCTAAGCGTTTTATCGTTTTTAAAATGGAGTTTTATGAAACACAAAAGTGACTATTTCATACCACATGGGCTCCCTACACTAAAATAAAAATAAAACAATAGCGAAAAATGTCATTAAAGTAATGATCATTAATGTGTGTCTTATACACAAGAAATTAAAATATAAATATATTCATGGTTATATGGACGCCAAATATCGTGCGGTATGAAACTTTAACGATAATCTGACGTCCACATATAGAAATATAACAAAATTCAAAACATGGACGTCAAATATCATTCAGTATGAATGTTTTAGGATATTCGGATGTCCATATTATTATATGTAGCTAAATCTAAGGACACGAAAACAAATTGGAAAGTAAAATTATCTACTAGCACTGAGTACAGTATAAACCGACAAAAAATACCAAAATATGCCTTGAGCACTAAATAAAATAATCAACATAAATAAAAAGTAAAATGCAATAACCAACAACTTTGGACATCGGATATTGAAGAAGTGGACGTCAAATAAAACTTAGTGTGAATATTTTAGGATATTCTTACGTCTGTATATTGGTAAATACTCTGTTCAATATCCATGTCAAGTACATTAATCAACTTACACAAGTTTATTTACCTAAGTTACTAAATATAACCAAAGAAACTTAAATGCAAGCAAGCATAAGCGTGGAAAGTGCTCAATGTGCGTAAGTCACAATACGGACGCCAATCAGAGCACGATATAGCGTCCAATATTTATAACAACAAACACAAACAAATTGTATTTCAACTAACTGCAAAACCAAACATAATATCATAATTTAACAAAAATAGCCTTTCACAAAAATGAATCTAGTTAAGTAGAGAGTAATTTTGTACAGATTAGGTAAATAGTTCGCACTGATCCTTAAAATAGTGATCATAAAAAGTAAACTCGCAGTGAGAGCACCAAAACTCAATACGATCAAGTAAATAAATTATATTTTCAGAGTTATTCATGTCAGCAACAATACGTCATGGTCTATTGTATAAATTAACAACCCATTGGCACTTAATGCAGTAAAACCTTAATATTAAAATGAGTTTCTTCCCAAGGTCATATTAGGTTATTAGTCACAATATAAGAAAATGAACTTCTATTAAACCTGTCAATATCTACAATTAGTACTTATTTACAATAGTAAAATAAATAATAATATAGTCAATCTATAATGTATTACAGCTGGCCAATCCTAGATATTTTTTCGTATTTACTAAACGAATAACTAGTAACGGGATGGCATGTGTCGAAAGAGGCCTCATGCTCAGACCATAGATGGATCTGCTTCGCACTACAGGTCGATATCCCCTCTACACCACCATGGAGAAATCCCCGCAAGACGGATAAAACAAAATACCTAAATAGGCTGACGTCTTCGCTCGCGTGTTTTGAGGGGATAAATACTATAGCAGATCAGTCGCTTCTAGAAAAACAGGTAGCAGCTGTTACTAAGGCCATGATAGATAGCTACCATGAATCATG